AATGCAGGATGTTTTGAGAAAAACAAGGGTTTAATTGGAATCTTCCAATTAGCTAAATGTAGAGTCTTGTGCAAGATGTTTGAAAGAAGTCCTTTGCAGTATGCAGGAGCACAAAGCTTTGGAAAAATAGAAGATAATAATAAAAAATGACAGGAGGAGACAGGTTGACAATATCACTGATGACATATCCATGATCTTACAAGACACAAAGGAACAGTTATTGGCAGACAGTCCTGCTAAAATGATGCCATTGAGCCCCAAAGAATCAGAGGTGACTGAATTACTGAATGCCAACTGTCTGAGATCTAAGGAATCTCCTGGACTTCATTGTTAACCAAGTTGTGGCATTTTGACAGGCAGTCGTGGCCTTTTCAGCATTTAGAATGAGTAAATAACCCACCAGACAGTCAGCAGAGTTCAAAAGATCTGAAAGTACTGGTGTGTCCACTTCTACTTTCTCTTCCCAGTATTCCCCTATCGAAGGAACACTGCATCAAAAAGGATTTAGAGAACTCAACAGATCTCCTGCAGAAAAGACCATTAAAGCAATATAGACACCACCGCCATAGGAAGTCTATAAGGATGAGTAAAAAAAAAAATGAACATGATGGTGATGACTATAATCAAAGATTTGGCCTTCTTTTTCACGCATCATGTGGGAGAACATGTAAAATGGGAGGAGAACTCCATTTATGTGGTGGAGACTTCCATCATCATATTTTTGACTTATTCCTGGCTTAGACCCCCCTGGGCCAGCTTTTCATGAAACATAGATCTTACACAATACATTGATGTGAGTTTGGACATTTCTGCTGAGTAGTATGAGAGAAAATCAGTGGAAAGTAGTTTTAGAGAAGATTATTGCAGAAAATAAGTGCTTGGAACAGAGTAGGAAACTTTGTTGTATTCCCAGATGAAGATTTCCAGAACAAGGAGGTATAGGTCATTCTCTGTGTTCAACCACAGCTGGGACCAGAATGTCCGCCTAAGCAAGGCAGTTGTTAAGTGAGTGATGCCTGATTTTATAACTTTTTTTGTCATTGATGTTAAGCAAATTACTGCAATTGTTAAGTTAGGGCAGTGCTTCTCCACCTTGGCAACTTTAAGATTATGGACTTCAACTCCCAGAATTCCCTAGCCAGCCAGATCCAATCCCACTCAACTTCTTTCAAGAACAGCCAAAGTTCTTTAGCACCTCTCATTGGTTGGGTCTTTGTTTTAAAGCAGTGCTTCTCAACCTCACCAGGTTTACGTTGTATGGATTTCAACTTTCCAGAGGCTAGTGGAGGAATTCTGGAAGTTGAAATCCACACATCTTAAAACCTGCAAAGGTTGAGAAACACAGCTCTAAAGCAATGCTTCTTTCTCAACCGTGCCAACTTTAAGATGTGTGGACTTCAACTCCCAGAATTCCCCAGGCAGCTATACCCTCCATCCAGGGATGGATACATGATAATAAGAACACACTATTTTCAACAAGCAGTAATTTCAACCTATTAGGTAAAGGTAAAGGTTCCCATCGCACATACTGTATGTGCTAGTCATTTTCGACTCTAAGGGGTGGTGCTCATCTCCTTCAAAGCTGAAGAGCCACCACTGTCAGAAGACATCTCCATGGTCATGAGGCTGACATGACTAAATGCTGAAGGCGCATGGAATGCTATTACCTTCCCACCAAAGATGGTTCTTATTTTTCTACTTGAATTTTTACATCCTTTCGAACTGCTAGGTTGGCAGAAGCTGGGACAACTAAAGGGAGCTCACTCCGTTATGCGGCACTAGGGATTTGAATTGTCGAACTGCCAACCTTTCTGATCCACTTTCGCCACTGAGCCACTTTCAACCTATTAGGACTAATCAAACAGCCGAGGACACATAGGGAGAACATGCTTCCCCACTAAAACTCATATTCCTGAAGATTTCCTTTTGGGGAGACCAGTTCACTCTTCAAGAATAAGCTTCTCACTCATTTGAATGCTTGTGCCATATCAAAGTCTGCCTTGAGCTTTCTCATTTTTCCCCCATTACAAAAGAACGTTCCATTCTATCATTATTTTCCTATGATTTTCAGAATGCTTGAGAATGCCCTAAGTTTTATTACTAGACTTTGGAACTACATTTTGCACAGGATGCTTCTGCTAATGTTATGAAATGGGAGACATGACATTGAGAGAGATCTCTTGGCTGCTTTGTCATCACTGCAACAATGCTAAAACCCACTTCTCTTTCAAGCTACCATAGTACAGTTTAGAAATGAGTTGAGGTCTCCCAGAATGGTTTTATACACAGTATTCTTTGTTTCAGTTCCTCATTTTTGACAGTGTAAAACTGAAGACACCCATTGCCTGAGGTCACAAATTCGTTAGACGATCCTGTGTATAGCCCGCAAGACAGTTTCAGCCATTGGCCCCATATTAGTCAAAAAGAGCAGTCAACAGGCAATTCCCATTTCTGTCTAATTGGCTCAGGAAGGAAGGATGAATGGAAGTAGCTGATAATCGCATATTGTTAAAAGGCATTTCGTGTGTGACAATATCACTGTGAAGTGGAATACAAAAGATGTTATTTCTCCATTTTGGGCATTTCTAGTTAAAAGTATCTACTACCATGAGTGAATTCATTTTTAGAGAAATGGGGCATGTAGGAAATTGTTAATCTTTAGAAGTGCTGTCACTGTTGCACGTTCTCAGTTTACCTGTAATTCGTGGGGTATCTGTTCTTAAATTATATTTGAGTTCTTGGGTATTCTTTTTCAGACCATCTCTTTCACAGTCTTCTCACGGACTTAACTTGGAGCTCATTGACAGAATATTAAAGCACAAAAAGCATGTTGTTTTGCAAATGTTTTTCATGTGTAGCAGTCCTTTCTTTTCTTACTAAGTACATATTTCACGCCTTCTGGTCAAGTTTTTTTAAGCATTCTGAAAAGGTATTAGGATGGTGAAGACTTAGATTTGGTTAAAAAAAATTAGAAAAAAACCTCAGTTCAGATAACAGTCTTTGTGGAAGCAGATGAAGAAATATTGCTTTTCAAGTAACAGACTTCTGAACCATGTCAGATATGTTGCCCATAACACCTCACTAACAATATAGCATAGATAAGTGCATCAATGTATGGCAAATCTAGAAAGCATACTAAAAAGCAGATACATCATCCCGCCAACAAAACTGCATATAGTCAAGGCTATGGTTTTCCCAGTTGCAATGGATAGTTGTGAAGTTTTGACCATAAGAAAGGCTGAGCGCGCAAGATTTAAGGCCTTTGAACTATGATCTTGGAGAAGACTCCTGCAAGTCCCTTGGACTGCAAGGCGATCAAACTAGTCAGTCTTAGAGGAGATCAACCCTGACTGCTCTTTAGAAGGCCATATCATGAAGATGAAACTCAAGTTCTTTGGCCACCTAATAAGAAGGAAGGACTTCCTGGAGAAGAGCCTCATGCTGAGAACGACTGAGGGGAAAAGAAGAAGGGGATAGCAGAGAATGAGGTGGCTGGATGGAGTCACCAAAGCAGTAGGCATGAGCTTAAATGGACTCAGGGGGGCGGGGTAGAGGACAGGAAGGCCTGGAGGAACGTTGTCCATGGGGTTGCAATGGGTCAGATATGACTTTGCAACTAACAACAGCAAGTGCATCAGGGAAGAATCTGATCATTTGTTCACTATGAAAAAAAAATAGGGATTTGCATTGTTTCAAATCTAATGATCTGACAAATATGAAGGCTGTTTGCTACTCTTCAAAGCAGTTGCCTCTTTAACCAGGTTCGCAGGGCAGTTGTGGAGGGTAGCCAAGTAATCCAAGAAAAGATGTGGCACAGAGGTGTGACCCCAAGATCTGTGGACTTCAACACCCAGAATTGGCTGTGGAATTCTAGGGGTTGTAGTTCACAAGTCTTAAAAGCTGCCAAGATTGGACAGCCCTAATGTAGCAGGTTGAAAGTATTGCAGACGGATCACATCCCCACACATTCTAAAGCAATTTTTTGGAATCAAACCCAAAGCAGCACACAAACCCTAATATATATCCCTATTATTAATCATTGGTCTACTTGTTTAGAAGAGAACAAGTTTTATTTGCAAACCTAAAGAATCAGCCTGCCAAATCTTGGTCACATGTATGCAGAGGTCAATATTCATTTTGCACCGTCAATTGCAGCTCTCACCCTTCATTCAAATCTACCCTCTGACCGTAAAACTTTGTCCCCACCTCTGCTATATCATCTATTTTTTTAAATATGGACATTATGGCTCTCCCACTAACTGTAACTGAGGTTAAACAAAGCGTGACTTGGTGCAACGTGTGGATCCAATCACAAGTGCCAGCAGGACCCACCAAAATATACTTTTGATCCACAGGATGCTCAAATACCAAGAATGCAACTAGCACAGCTCCATCTGTGTGTATAAATAAATTCAGCACTCATGTGGTTACAATGTGAAATCTCTTGGGTGGAGATTGCACAGATTTGTTGCAGTTTAAAACAAATTAAACTGAATTGGAAGGCTCCTGTTGGGCAAGAGAAGAATTCTTGGCTCTGTTTCCAAACGGCTTTTGCTGTTAAGAGTGCTCTTTTTTCCTCTTGATTATGTGTGCTAAAATGATAAAGTAGGGACCTCTGTCTGTATCCTCCATTAAAACATACATACATATAGTATATATACATATATACATGTACCCAAAACTTTACAAGTATAATTTTTACTAAAACACACAATATTCTAAAAAATTAAAAAGGAATAATTGGTTTAATTAATTAGTAGCATGAAATTAAATTTCATTTCTATCTCACCTGCTTCTTTGTCATGCATCCCCCTTCCCTCTTTTTAGAAGCAATACAATTGTGGCAATATAGAAAGTGGATGGAGCGAGAGGGAGAGAGCAAGAATGAATGAATGAATGAATGAATGAATGAATGAATGAATGAATGAATGAATGAATGAATGAATATAATACAACTTTAGTTCTGTTTGAATTGAAAACTTGGTGTTCCTTTCTTTCAGTGGTCTCCTGTGGCCATCCTGGATCCCCACCCTATGCCCAGATCTTAGGTGATGTCCACAGCGTAGGGGCGGTAGTGCGCTACAAATGCCAGGAAGGCAGGAATTTGATTGGCAATTCCACCCGTACGTGTCAGCTTGATGGGCGTTGGAGTGGCTCTCTACCTCATTGCTCAGGTAAGAAAACTTAGTGGCAAACAAGGTAGCTACCATGGGTTGATTTATTCCCATCTCTTTAAGTAGCATCACTCAATAAGGTTGCATAAAACAATCTGGATTTCAAGGAAAGCATGCTTTGGAAGAGGACTAGGTCCACTTGTGGCAACTTCAGGGAAGACCTTCAATAACTTGTGTCTTTTCCTGATCTCTGTCAGATTTCATACAAGGTACAGTTATAAATGTCAGCTTTCAAGTGACACATTCAAGAAAAAACAGCTGAAGTCCATATTTTAATTAACTAAAAGTTTCTGGCAGGCAGTCTTACAAATTAGAGGGCAGAAGATTTCACTATAGGACTGATTTATAATTTATGCAAGACGTATATTTTCAGTATATGCACAGCACACGACATGGTTTAGGACAGTGATGCCCAACCTTTTTCTTATGGCGTGGCAAAATTATGTGTGTGCGTGCTATCACATGCACACGTGTGCCCACACCAATTCACCTACTTGCATATGTGCGCACATCAAAATGGATCATTTCTAAACTTCCGGTTGGTCCCTTGGGGCCGTTTTTCTCCCTCCCCAGCCTCCGGAGGCTTTCCTGAAGCCTGGGAAGGATGAAAAACAGCCCCAATGGGTCAATTGGAAGTTTGGAAATGATCCATTT